GGGGGGGTGTCTCACTGCTGCCCGCCCTCAGTCCAGTTTCTCCAGCACAGAGGGCACATACACCAGGCTGAGCTCGCTGCCGAAGTTGCAGACAATGGCAGCATTGTCCAGCACCAGGATCTGGCGGGCAGGCTGGGCCTCACTGTTCTTTCCTAGGTAGACAGTCTGTAACAGGTCCCCGTAGTTTAGGTCCCAAAAGGAGACACAGCCCTGGCCGCCAGTCACCAGTAGGTTGTCAGAGATGACACCCAAGCTTGCACCACAGCCTAGGTCCTGGAGGCAAGGAGACGACAGGCTCAGTGTTCTGGGTCCTTCCCTAAATCGCCAAGAGTCCTATGGCCCCACCCCTGCTACCTGCTGAATGGAGTAGAACTTGATGCCTGTGCTGCGGTCCCAGATGCTGATGAGGTCGTCCAGGCCGCTGCTGATGACACAGGAGGTGGTGCAGGTGAGGGAGGTGATATCTCCACGGTGAGCAAACATGTGACTGACCCGGCTGCCAGTCAGCACATCCCACAGGCAGATGGCTCCATCTTGTCCTCCACTGGCCAACACCATGGTCTAGGGAACAGACCCACGGAAGTGAGGTCATGGAGGAATGCCTCTGTTGACAAGTGTGTCCCTGTGCCCTGGTGGGTTGGGGCTCTTCTTCTGCTTCCTGGAAGGCGCTTGGGGTCCAGCTCCCAGGAGTCAGCCAACAAGGGCCATGGGCCTGGCTTCTACCCCTCCACAGCCCTCTCCATAGCCCCCTCCAGGCCCCTCACCTGGTCGATGTACACAGTCGTGATGGCCCCTGAGTGGCCCTGGAGGGTGAAGAGGCAGCATGAGTCCTCCAGACGGAATACCTGGACAGGCATAAGCATCATGTTTTGGTCTCTTGGAATTTTCTGAGTTACACTTCGAAAAACACCTTTCATCACTCACTAGGACTCCTCCAATGTCTTCTGAATGACCCATAAGGCTCCCACTTCCTGTGCCAGGCCACCCTGGCACCCAAGAGACCAGACAATACTCACTCTCAGTGTGTGGTCTTGGCTCCCAGTGACTAAGCGCCCGGCAGCAGCTTTCAGGGCCGTGATGGGTTTTTGGTGGGCACAGGGCACTGTGTGGGTCAGGCGACAGGCCACCGTGTCACTGCTGCTGTACATGGGAGATACAGGTGAACTGCCCCGCCCCGGGGTCCCTGAGGACAATAAACCAAATGAGGGATCTCCAAGAAGGCACCTGGCAGGTGTCCCCTGCCACCCACCATGTGCAGCCACCTGCCTGCCCCAGGCCCTCTGACCTCTAAACTGCAAGGGGCTGAGGGCACTGTGGGTCTCCAAAGAGAAGAAATCAAGGGAACCGTTGAGCCGTGCAGCCACAATCCTGGAAGAGAAGAGCAGCTGCCAAAGTGGCTCCCTCAGAGCCCCTGATCTTGGGTGAGCATGTCCAGTTCAAGAAGGGACAGGAGGGAGCCTGACCAAGAGGAAAGCACACGAGCTAGAAACAAATGCTAGAGCCAGAGGGCTCATGTTACAACTCCAATTATTAACTTCTCTGTGCCTCCGTTTCTTCTTCTGTAAAATGAGAATAAAAGTACCCACCTCACAATGGTCATGAGAATTAAGTAAGCTAATATGTGTAAGGCAGTACTCAATAAGTGTCATATAAAAGGTTGTAAATTAAAACACAACACAACGGAGGCTTCCTCTGTGTAACCTGGGGCTTAAGGGAAGGCTGCTAAAAAGAAGCAGGATGTAGGGGAGCTTGTTGTGAAGGTACAGGAGCCTGCAGTCTCCATCACACAGAAGCAGCTTTGAGCCGGGCTCGGTGGCTCAGCCTGTAATCCTGCGCCTTTGGGAGGCTGAGGTGAGTGGATTGCCTGAGCTCGGGGGTTCGAGACCCGCCTGGGCAACTTGGCGAGAGCTCATCTCTATAATAAATAAAAAATGAGCCGGGTGCGGTAGCGCGCGCCTGTAGTTCCGGCTACTTGGAAGGCTGAGGCGGAAGGATCGCCGGAGCCCAGCAGGTCGAGGCTGCGGTGGCTGGGAGCGGCCATGGCACTCCAGTCTGGGCGACAGAGACTCCAACTCAAAAAAAAACAAAAAAAAGAAGCAGCAGCAGCTTCAACCCAAGAATGACCCATGCCATCTCCTTTTCCCACAAGAAATAAGAATTTTCAGGCAAGGAGTGATAGCTCACACCTGTAATCCCAGGACTTTGGAAAGTTGAGATGGGAGGATCGCTTGAGGCCAAGAGTTGGAGACCAGCATGGCAATGAGACCCCTATTTCTAGAAAAAGTAGCTGGGCATGGGGGTGCAGCCTGTAGTCCCAGCTACTCAGGAGGCTGAGGTGGTAGCATTGCTTGAGCCCAGGAGTCCGAGGCTATAGTGAGTGATGACTGCAGCACTGCACTCTGGCCTTGGCAACAGCAAGACCCTGTCAGAAGAAGGGGGGGATAAGGATTTTCTTTCCCCCAAGAATTCCTACGCACGGGTTGACAGGCAGGGATGGGAACATTTGCCTAGTGGCCCCAAAACCTCTAGGTAGGTGGGGACCAAAACCTTACTCCAGCACAAGACAATGCATGTCTACAATTTCTGCCCATGAGTTTGTAGGGCCCACAGCAGACCTGGGGAAGCCACAGTGCTCAAGGAGGAGGGTGAAGAGGAGAGACCACAGTCACCAGGAACCCTGAGGAGCAGGCTGTGACATATGGGCTTTCCCTAAAGCTTAAAAATACGAGCAGAGGTGCTGGCTGGTTGGAGGGTAGGCTGTTGGTCAAAGCCTGTGCAGGAATCCCAGTGGTGGCAAGCGTTGAGAGTGCTAAGGGCAAGGGATGCCCCGCCCCAAGGAAAAAAAGGCCCCACTTCTAGCTTAGATGGTGGTACCACCCTATTAGGGACTTGTGCAGGAAGAGACGGCATGGGCAGGCAGGTGAAGACATTCAGTAGAAGGCACCTGGTCGTGGGTGGAGACCAGGCTCAGCAGCTTAGGTGGCAGCAAAGCCAGGGTGACTGAAACCCCAGGGAGCATGTATGCAGGCAGGGCCCTAGAAACATCCAGCCAGGACATGCTGAGAAGTGGCAGGCACAACAGGAGAGAATGAGGAGAGAACAGCATCCAGCAATCAAGGAAAAGAAAAGTTTTAATGAGAAAGTTCTTCTGAAAACATGTTTTCGGTAACTGAAAACGGAACCAAGATACCCAGAAGCGTCAGTACTGACAAGCGAACAAACTGACTTCCAACAGTGAGGAAGGAAAACAGTGTACTCAGTCCCTGCTGTCACCGTGGTTAGGGGCCCTGGGTGCTCACCCTGTGCCAGGCCCTACTCCACACACATCACATCCCACAACTCAGTTATGGGGGCTCCCATCCAAGTGGACTACCCGCTGCTCAAAGATGTGGAGTTGGGCACTGAGAAGGGAAACCAAGTCATGCACCAGTGGAAAAGAGCCAGGACCCGAGCCTCAGCGAGAACAGCCTGGCCGTGAAAGACTGGGGACATCTGGGGCTGAGGCAGGCAACAGGCACTCACCTTTTGTCCAGGAAGATGAGGGCTGTGATGCCTGAGGAGACCTCATCACTGCTGCAACAAAGCACACCCTCGATGGCATCCCACACCTGAAAGTCCAGAGGCCGTGAGCACCAGTCTGCAGAGAAGACCCGCAACCCCCGTGCGGACACCAGCCCTGTGCCCACCTCCAGCCGGCCGCTGCTCCGCCCCACGACGATGAGGCTGCCCTGCAGCTCCAAGCTCCAGATGGAGCCGTCAGTGCTGGGGGCCCAGGCAAGGGAAGGGGAGCCCTTCTCCGGCGAGCCGCCCTCGTCCTCAGCAGCCTGGGGCAGCGCCGGCCCAGGGGAGGGCGGGCGCAG